AAATGGTATAACCACTTTGCAAAACAGTCTGACAGTTTTTAAAAACAGTTAAACAGAATCTACCAGATGACTCAGCCATTCCACAACTAAGTACTTACCCAAGAGAAATGAAAGCATATGTCCATACAAAGACTTGCACGCGAGTGTTCATAGTAGTTGTATTTGGAATAGCCAAATGTCCATCAACAGGTGAAGGATAAATGGACAATGTTCTAAGTATACAATGGCATACCACTCAGCCATAAAAGGAATTAACTATTGATTCACACCATGACACAGAGTCATCTCAAATATGCTGAGTGGAAGAGAACAGATTCAAAACACAGTACATACTATATAGTTCCATATATATAAGATTCTAGGAAAAATAAACTAATCTACAGCTGGCATATCAGTAGTTGCCTGGGGATGGGGTGGGGTAAAAATGGATCACCAAGGGGCAGGGGGCAGTTTGAGAAGGATGAACACATTCATCATTCTGATTGTGTTCATGTTTCCACAGCCACACAAATAACTTACCAAACTCTACACTTGAAATATGTTTGTTATGTGTCATTTATAGCTCAACAAAGCTGTTTTTAAAAAGAGGACACTTTGGAGCACCTGCGTGGCTCAATCGGTTAAGCATCCACCTCTTGATTTCAGCTCAGGTCATGATCTCAAGGTTGTGAGATGGAGCCTGCTTAAGATTCTCTCTCCCTCTCCTTCTGCCCCTCCCACTGGTGCATGCATGCTCCTGCATGCTCTCTCTCAAAAAATAAAAAATAAATTTTAAAAAAGCAAGTTAAAATTCTGGTGAGGATTGAGTTGAATCTGCTATCAATTTGAGAAGAAATAACATCTTAATAGTGAGCCTTTCAACCATGAACATGGTATACCTCTCCACTAATTTAGGCCTTTGTAGTTTCTCAGCAATGTATTCTAGTTTTCAACACAAATGTCTTGCACATATTTTATGCATAACCATTTTGGTTTTGGTGGTACTGTAAATGAAATTATTTTAAATGTATTTTACAATTGATTGCTGCTGGTCTATAGAAATATAATTGACCTTTGTTATATCCTATGACCTTGCTGAAGTCACTTACTAATTCTAGTAGTTGTTCTGAGGATTCCTTAAGATTTTCTGCATAATTATGCAGTCTGCCAATTAAGATTTTGTCACCAGTTTCTTAATTTTCTTTGAAGTCTCTTACTATACAGCCCAACCATTAGCCAATGCCCGTGAGTCAATTGAGACCTCTCTCTCGCCCTCTTGGCAAAATAACAGCCTGATGCACTGCTTGATTATCTACCCACAAAGAACATTTCCCCTACTCATGCCTTCTGAGTGCCCCTGTAATGCTGCAACCTGCTACCTCCTGGTGGGGTCAGTATATAGTGCACAACACATGGAATCCATATGCTTCCTCAGGCAGCCATGAAGCTAGAGGTAGGGGTTAAGGGGTGGTAATTGTGCAACAAGAGTGGACACTTGTTCATGCAGCCTAGTGTGTCTTCAACACCTGCTCGAGCCTGGTTTTGTATAGATTGCTTCCATTTCATGATGGCAAGTTGCTGTCAATACCAAACTTTATGGGTTTGTGGGTTAGTTTATGATGGCCTGCTCAGGTTATGTGGTTAACCTGGAGTTCCATGAGTTTCTACTATGGCTCAGGAGCATACTTATTCAAAAGGAGAATAAGTATTTTCAGAAGAATATTTGGCTATTCTCCAAAACTCTAAGTCTCTGCACTGTGGGTCACCTGCAGAGGCATGCCAGAGGCTACACACAGCATCCCTATCTTCCAGAGATCTTTCACACCCCATTGATAATGCTAGATCCATATTTCTCAGGGTGGGGTGCCTGAACCAGCAGCATTAGCACCACCTGGGAACTCCTTAGAAAAGACAGTTCTCAGGTTCCACCTTAGACCTACTGAGTCTGAATCTCTGAGATTCAGATCTGTGAGATCTGTGTTTAATGCACAATAGAGTTTACTTAGGTGATTTAGATGCATGCTAAAGTTTGAGAATAATCCAGACTGTTGCAGAACCTTTTTTGCTCTGGGAAAAAATTGAACACATTATGGATAACTCAGTAAATGGGTCTTAGAAGCATTCCCAATTAGAAGCTCCAAAACCCAACGACACTCACCAGGTATGGTGATTCTTCCTCAAGAGTAGGATAGCCAGATGCAGCAAGCTATCTTTCACTTTGGATGTGTATCTTGACCCAGTCTCAAATCTCTGTGGACCCATAGAAACTTCACCAAGATGGCAAGCTTTGGAGTGTGTGTGTGTGTGTGTGTGTGTGTGTGTGTGTGTATTTACATTTATATGTATATATTTTTCCCAATCTCTAGCAAGCATGTGTCTTACCAAGGCATCTTGGTATTGTTTATTTCTTGCTCACCAGGTTGATTCAGCATGACATCAGTGGTGTAGGAGACCAATGTCGTATGGTGTGGACTGGCAGACAATAAATGTCTCTGGACTAGACATGACAGTGAGCTGGAGAGTTGACATAGTGCTGAGATAAGATGGGGGGAGGGGTGCTGTTGTCCCTGCCATGTGAAGGGAAACTGGTCTTACAGTCTTTCCCAATAATCATTGGGGTGGGGAGGCATTCACTGCACCAAGAGCTGCATAGACCAGGATTTGAGTTGAGTTACTCCAGTTAAAGAGATCAGCAGCTGAAGTTGGAGCTGAGCCTTGACCAGCAACTGCCTCAGGCAAAGCAGGTGGTTCTGAAAAGCTCTCTGGGAGGCTGCTAAAAATTTCACATCTCCCATCAGAGCCGACAACATGCCTCTGGGAATAGTGAAATAATGGCTTCCTCTTCTCTCCCAACTACCTAATCAGGTAGGAGTGTCTCTTATTGGCAGATTCTAACCTAGTACTGTATGGGGCAGGGATTCTAGGAGATAGACTTCCTAGTTTCTCCTTTGTGGTGCAGAGGAGATCTAAGAAGCAGGTGGTGGTGAGGCCAAGATGATAAAATATAATGCAGCACACATGGGATCCTAGAAACCAGGGTTCAGTGCAGGAAAGCGTTTGCAAGAGTTCCCAGAGTCATGGTCATAGGAAATGCCAGGACAAAGGCTGGGTGGCGAGACTGGAGAGCCAGCTATCCTTATGGGAGTAGAGGCAGGACCTCTAAAGCACCACTGCTCCCATGTTTTAACAAATCTAAAGGAGATTTATACATTTGTTGGACAGTTTGGAGTTGAATTAATGATAGGAACATGGAAAATTAACCAATGAAAATATAGGCAACAATTAACTCAAGGGACAACAAAAAAATTCCAAGAAAGGAAATGAGATCCTAGAACACTGCAGCTCAGTTTGAGTAACACAAACACCTCAGTATGGAACTATTATACATTGAGCGCATTCCTCCAAAATTCCTGGTGGAAGCCTTAACCCGAAGTGGCATGTATTAGAAGGTGGGGTTTGGGAAGGCAATGTGGTTTAGAATAAGTCATGTGGGTGGGGCCCCCATGATAGGATTAGTGCCCTTAAGAACAGAGACCAGCAAGTGTGCTTTCTCTACGTCCTCCACCCAGCCCCCCTCCCCCACCATGCAAAGACAAGCCAGGAGAGGCCCACCAGACCCAAACCACAACAGCACCCAGATCTCAGACTTCCAGCCTCCAGAACTGAGAGAAATAAATGTGTGTGTGTTTAATATATAGATCTGAACTCATCAGTTGTACCTTGGGTTCCCTTATTTAAAAGAAAATCTTTCTTTGGTGGCCATTTATTTCCTTGGCTTTGTTGATTAAAGCTTTATCATTGGATTGCCACTTTTTCTTTTTTAAAGATTTTTATTTATTTATTTGTCAGAGAGAGAGAGAGCACAAGCAAGGGGAGCAGCAGAGGGAGAGGGAGAAGCAGGCTCCTCACTGAGCAAGGAGCCCGATGTGGGACTCAATCCCAGGACCTTGGGATCATGACCTGAGCGGAAGGCAGATGCTTAATGGCTGAGCCACCCAGGCGTCCCTGCCCCTTTTTCTTAAAACCTGAGTTATGGAGCCAGTGTGGGGAGACACAGCCCCCGAGTTACAGATTCAAGGTGTATGTCACCATCTTCTGAAATCCCTGTCATTTCCCTGAGCTCTAGGGACTGAGTTGTGTCTCCCCTAAAATTCCTACGTTGAAGTCCTACCCCTCAATGCAATGGTACTGGAGGTGGGGCCTTCGGGAGGTGGTTAGGTCATGAGGGTGGAGCCCTCAAGAATGGGATTGGAGACCCCAGACAACTCCCTCCCACTTGCACCAGGTGAGGACACAGACAAGACCTCTGTGAACCTGGAAGGAGGCCTCATCAGATTGTCAATCCACTGAGCACCTTGATCCTGAATTTCCAGCCTCCAGAACAGTGACAAATTTCTTTTGTTTATAGGCCTCCCATTCTTTCTTATTTTTATTACTGCAGACACTGAGTCAAGGGCTCTTTCTGCTTGATTCTAATTCAGCCTGGAAGAGCAGTTCCTGGGCTCTCCCTGGGCAGGGGTCCTGTCTTGGACAACAGCGCGGTTGGCAGGAGGCTGTGTAAATGGCAGTGAGGCTGGAGTGAGTGGGGAAATGGCACTGAGGAGCAAGGGCACTCTGAGGTCCCCTGACAAAGGGACACAGCTTCCGTGATACTGCGGAGCAAGAGCAAGTGGTCCAGACGGGCTGGAGAGCGGGGGGACTGGTGTGCATGCCCCACCACCGCAAATGCACGGTGGGAAAATCAAAGCATACACAGGACGAAGGTTAACACCCAGGGACTGGGTCACCCGGAGGGCAAAGCCAGTGTGCGGTCACTCACCTTGACAGCATTCTGCACACCTCGGGATCCTGGGCCTTGTTTGGTGGCCTGTGGACTCCGTGAATGTAAAATCTTGTTGGCGGCATTTCCGCAAGAATTCCAAGTCTGTTCGGCCCCGGAGTGGGTATCCACCGCCCTGGCTTTCCAGACTGGTCCGAGAAATCCTTTTCCTCCGCACATCGTTCCAGCTCTATGGTTCCAATCATAGCTTGGGCGCTACAGGCAAAGTGGGGCGACCCCGCCGGGACACCGCGTCCAGCTCGGGGGCGGCGCACGGGGCCACAGAAGGACCTGGGCGACCATCAGGTGCCTGGGGGCCCAGGGGCCCTGGCACAGGGCCCGAGGAGCCCCGGGAAGGGTCCGGAGCCCGCCAGGTAGAGCAGGACAGGGATCGCCCCAGCGGGGACGGGTTTGACTTGAGGTTCCTCACCGGCCGCCCCTGCTCCGCGTTAGACTCGGCTGGGAGAAGCCCCCAGGGCGGCCGACAAGGGAAGGGCGGCCCTAGGGGGAGGGGCCGGTGCAACTGGACGGCTGGGGAGAGGGGTCCGCGCAGCAGTGGGACTGGGGGGGGGGGCGGTCGGCGGGCCCCGCTCAGCCCGCGCGCCCCAGCGCGGTACCCCGCGCGCCCGCCACCCCGCTCCCTCCCCAGCCAGCTGCCCCTGCGGGGCTTCTCTGTGGCCCAGCGCCCAGGGCTACCGGGCGCCCCAAGGCAGACGCCGCAGAGGAGCGGACCGCCCTGGGGGTGCGGGCGAAGATAAGCAGGGACACCTAGGCTGGTTCCGCCGGGAAACCACCGTCTCGGACCGGCAACTCCTGGGCCCCGGAGATGTCCCCGCTCCCTCGCGCTCGAGGCTCTGGGATGCTCGAGACCCCAGGCGGGTGAAGAGTTGCGCCGGCCTCCGGCCGCTGGCCACCGCCTCCGACAGGCTGTCGGGTCTCCGGGCGGGGACGCGGGCGCTGCCGGGGCTGGTCCTCCGCCCACCCGGGGCGGTACGGGGGCGGGGCCGGGGCGGGCGGGCGCCCCCGACGGCGGGAGGGGCGGGGCGGGCTGGCGGCACCATAAGAGCCCGCAGGCCGCGACCGCCCAGCGCAGCGGGAAGGGAGCCAGCCAAAGATTTTGCCGGCACCAGGCGGCGGGACCCCAGCGCAGAGACGAGGCCAGGGCGGGCAGGTAAGCCAGAGCACGGTGAGCCTCTCCCGCGCATCCTCGGGGCGCGTCACTCCCTCCGGGGATCCCAAGTCTGTGGCCCAGAGGCGCCGAGCTGGGGCGGGCACCGTCGAGGGCACCGCGTCTCCAAAAGTCGCTGGCAGCGGCAGCGCTCCCCGACAATGCCATTCACGGTCTCGAGGAGGTCGGTGGCCGAGAGGTGTGTGCCTGAGAAGGGGTGCGCAACTGATCGCGCCCCGGTGACCCTGGCCGGGCCCTGCCGGCGAAGCGCCTGGTCCCCCGGCCGCCCAGTTCCCTGGGCTGCGCGGGAAGGTGCGGTCGTCGCTGGGGTCCCCACTGCTCCAGTTCCCGGGTTGGAGCGGGCCTATGTGGCTGATTCCTCCCTGCTGAGCCAGATGCAGCACAGGGTGAGGTGGAGACATGGGGGGATTTTCTCAGCCCGGGCTTCATCTTTCAGGGGTTTGTCTGATTACGAAGATGGGGTGGGGTCCCGGAGATGCTGGGTCTGTGTGCCCAGGCTGTTGGCAGGGAAGGACCAGAGCGAACAAGTTTATTGGCCACCTCTGTTTCTCGTTCTGGGCAGAGCACAAAGCTTTCTGAGAGGCCACGTTTTGCTTTCTGTACTCAAACCTGGGTTCTGAGGCTGTGGCTTCAGGAGTTGTGTTGGCTCAGCCTAAATACTGAGTGTGCACTTCCCTGTCAGGGGATCGGGATGTACCTGCAAGGGCTCTTGTCAGAGTGGAAGGCTCACCATCCGTACAGCTCCAGCCCTCTCTGCTGGACCCCATTGCAGGACCGTTGCACCTGCTCTGCAGGCCCTGCAAAGCCGGCCGTTTTTCCTACATCTCAGGAATGCTGGGTTTGTCACAGGAGGTGAAGGGGCCACAGAGAAGCAGTGGGTAAAATCACTTATGTGGTGAGTTGTTCAAATGTGGACACAGAGGAAAATGATCTGGTTATGCTTTTGCTTCAACCAGGGTGTTGTGTGTGTGTGCGTGTGTGTGTGTGCGTGTGCACATGCGTGTGTGTACAGTTGAAACAATGCTGATGGATCTGAATATCAGAAGTCCTATTTGAAGCTGTCTTTGGCTGTGTCCATGTGTAACTCTGTTCTCCTTGATTGTGTTACATGGGGTTTTATGAAAGTATCTTGGAAACAATTCCTTGGTAAAGTTACTAAGTACGGAAACTCGTCTGCTCCCAGGTAAATCCTGCTGGTGCTCTGGTCTGCCCGACTCTTTCAGGCGGGCATGGGGGTCCCTGGAAGAAGCTGTCGGAATCCTTATCTTTAAACTTGCATTATTGTGGCTGATTTTGGTTATAAAAATTTGCTCTCTGCTTTTACTGCTGTGTGTAAAGAATACATGTGCACTGTCGTAAAGACTTACTTTTTTAAAGATTTTATTTATTTATTTGAGAGAGAGAAAAAAAGGGAGAGAACACAGCGGGGGGTGGGTGAGGGGTAGGGGCAGAGGGAGAGGCAGAAGCAGACTCCCTGCTGAGCAGGCAACCAGACACGGACTCAACTTGGGGCTTGATCCCAGAACCCTGAGATCATGACCTGAGCAGAAGGCAGATACTTTGCCAACTGAGTCACCCAGGCGCCCCAAAAGACTTATTTTGGATGCTATTTGAAGATTGTGAAATTAGTCCCTGGCAATGTGGTGAGGGTGAAGGTGACATTTTGCATTATTATTCAAAGCAAAATTGGAGATTATACAGCATTGCACTTTGATTGGTATGGAGAGGGGTGTGCCAGGGAAAGAGGTAGCAAGGCAGGTATTTGTCCTGAGGTTTTCAGGGCCCATCCACCCCCGGCCCCCACAAGATCTAGCCTGTCTCCTGCTGTCCTCAACCTCGGCTGTGTCAGCCTGGGGGCTCGGAATGTATTCTGCCCCAAAAACATGAAGGTAGATGCCCCCGATCTCTGTTCTTGCCTCCATGGTTCAGGCTACTAAATCGTTGCATTCCTATGTGTGTTTATTTTTCATGCTGGCTGAAGACCCAGGGCGAAGAAGCACAGGATTCCAAGGCTCCAGTCTGCCCATGAGTAAAAGCAAATGCCCGGTGGTACTGATGTCTTCTGTGGTGGCCCCAGCTAAGGAGCCCAATGCCATGGGCCCAAAGGCAGTGGAACTCGTCCTGGTCAAGGAGCAAAATGGGGTGCAGCTCACAAACTCTACCCTCATCAACCCCACGCAGACCCCCGTGGAGACCCAAGAGCGAGAGACCTGGGGCAAGAAAATCGACTTCCTCCTGTCCGTGATCGGCTTTGCAGTGGACCTGGCCAACGTCTGGCGATTTCCTTACCTGTGCTACAAAAATGGCGGGGGTGAGTCCTGCCCGGCCTGCATGATCCCCCTGTGCGGATGGGGGGTGGGTAGGGCCACCGCACTGCTCCTCACGGGCTGTGCAGCTCCTGACTCCGCCTTAGCAGGGCACACATTCCGGGGGGCAGGCGTGTCCACAGACCAAAGAAGCAGAGGGTCGGGCGGCCTCCTGGTGAATCTGCCCTCTGTAGCTGGGTGGTCCCTGGTGGTCGGAGGTACCAGGGCTCTGCTTTCTGTTTCCAAAGATGACTTTCGCTTTGGAAAGCAAATCCTCAAACGCCCACAGAATGGTGTCTTGGGCTGACTGCAGACGGTATTACAAGAGTGCACGGAGGCCCTCAAATTTGGAGTAGTGTGCCCTTGCACTTGCCCTGCTCCCTGAATGCAGCCGGCCCTAGAGCCTCACACAGCTGTGGACTTGAGGCAGGAGGCAGAAAACGAAAGTAAGAGACAGGGTCACCCACAAATTGAAGTTGAGGAGGCAGTTAAGTTGGTGCTCACCTCCATGAGTCCTCCTGCTGCTCACTCCCTGCGGCCTCCGTGACCCGTTAGTCCCTCAAGGCTGCAGGCGTGAAGGGTTTGGAAGAGCCTCTTGGGGAGGACCTTCCAGCACACCTGTTCTGAGGGGGGAACGCGAGGCCTGAGCGAGGGCAGTGAGTTGTACAAAGACCGGACTGCGGGTCTCCCTGCCTCCTCCTCCCCATCCCAGGAAGGGAGCCGTGACAAAGGCCCCCTCATCGGAGGCAGAGCCATGGGGCCCGGCATTTGGTGCCTGGGACAAGGTGTGGCCCCGGGAGGACCGGGCAGGACGCTGGAGGGATGCCAGTGCCTGTCCACCGTAGCCCCTGACCCACGTGGGCTCTGGAGACGGGGAGCGGGGAATGGGTGGCAGAACCCCCGTAGGGTCAGACATGGACCTCCGATCCCAGAGGATTTACAGCTCAAGAGGGGCCAACACTGCACAGACAAGTGCAGGGGCAGAGGCCGTGGCGGGGAGGGCAGGCGGGGAGGGCAGCTCCAGGAGCCAACAGTTGTGTGGCCAGGGGCCTGCCCTCTCTGCTCTGCGGTTGATTTCTCGACTTGGCACAGGGGATGCCTGGGGTTCAGCAGGGACGTGTCGGGGCGCTGATGACAGGGGGGCCAGGCCTGGAGGTCAGAGGCTCCCCCGCCCAGCCTGGGACTTCCCTTTGGAGGGTGGCCCTGCAGGGAGCTTCAGGAGAAACTGGTGGCCGCACCCGAGACATAGCGGTGGGATGGCTGCGCTCCAGCGGCAGCAGGGGGCCTTGCGCAGCCCGCACGCTGAGCCAGCTGTCCTGCCTCACAGGCGCCTTCCTGGTCCCCTACGTGCTCTTCATGGTCATTGCTGGAATGCCGCTTTTCTACATGGAGCTGGCCCTGGGGCAGTTCAACAGGGAAGGGGCTGCCGGCGTCTGGAAGATCTGCCCCATCCTGAAAGGTAATGGCCCCGGGCCCTCCTCACACTGCGGGCGGCACAGGCCGTGGCGGGGGCTCGGGGCTTTCAGAGCAAGCCCACCCAAGCTGTGTGCGTTCGGTCCCGCTCTGATAGGTCGCTATGCCCTTCGATATCCATGTCTGTCTCTCTCTGTCTCTGTCTCTCTCTCTGTGTCTCTCTGGGTCTCTCTCTGTCTCTCCCTGTCTGTCTCTGTCTCTCTCTGTCTCTCCCTGTCTCTGTGTCTCTGCCCCTGTCCTCCCGGTACAAGCGCACGTGCATAGACCCACTTTAATGTGGGTCCAACTGTAAAAGGCCGAGCTGATGGAGGACTCATGAGTGCGTGGCCTTGCTGACAGGTGAGGCCAGCCTGCAAGTCACGAGCGGTGTTGTTGGTGTTAGAACAGTAGATAGGATAAGCCTCCCTCTGCCTGTCCGTCGGCCCTCTACTCCCCCTGCGCATCTGTCACACTCTGTACGGCTGCCACAGGACCTGCCACAAGCTGGGTGGTCTAATCAGTGGACATTTGTTGTCTGACATTTCTAGAGCCTAGAGATGCAAAATCAAGGTGTGTTGGTAAAACTGATTCTTTCTGAGGGCTGTGATGGAGGAGCTGTTCCAGAACTTTCCTCTGCATGTGTCTCTGTAACCAGATGTGCTTGTCCTCTAAGGACATCTGTCTCCCTGGAGTAGGGCACGTTCTGACAGCCGCACCTTAACTTGCCCACCTCTGTGAAGACCTGTCTCCAAATGAGGTCGCTCTCATAAGTACTGGGCTTAGGACGTCAGCAAATGAGTTTTGGAGGGACATGAAGCAACCCACAATGTTTTCTGTCATCTGTCTATCATCTCCGGATCCATCCAGCTGCTGTCAACCAGCGGGTCTGTTACCATCTGCCATCAGGCATAGCACGTCTTCGTATTGTGAACCAACCGTCTATCATCTGCCTGTTGTCCGTCCATCCACCCACCACCTGTCTGTCTGTGTCTATCCACACTCATCTGTCCCTCATACGGACTACACCTCTGTTCTCTCGCTGGTTCCCTCGCCAGCTACCCACCAGCTAGCCAGCTGTCTAGTTACTCACTGAGCCCTCCCGTCTGCCACGGCACCATGAAGCAAACACACCTCGTGTTGAGCCGAGGGGCCTGCCCCGTGGCCAGCCCTTCCGTGGTCACCTCCCTCCGCCCTCACGAGAGTCCTGGGAAGGACACATACCGCCTTGTCCCCATTCTGGAGATCCAGGCACTGAGGATTAGCGCCCCTTTGTCAGGGGCAGGGCGCACTGGCTCCAGACCCATCTCACGCCCCACGTTCGGCCTCCAGGGCGCACCTGCCCTCCAGCCCACGCCGTGTCTCAGGAGCCCATGGCTCAGGGAGGGTTCATGGGGGGGGGACTGGGGGCGCGGTCTGGTCCACACACCTGGCTTCACTAGGAAAATGGTTCCTACAAGATCAGCCCTGGGATTTCCTCAGAAGTCCTTGAAACGTCAGTGTGTTTGGAAGAGAACAGAAGCCCTCGTAGTCTCCAAGGACACGCGAGGATGGGTCAGTGGTTCGTGGTCAGAGATGGCAGCTGATCAGCTCACAGCTGCTGCAGCCGGGGCTCCGCAGGGGGGCGGCCCCCCCAGCAGCGGAAA